AAACACACTCTTCAACATGGGCCAAAGTCCACTAAATGGACTACCAAATAATTCTCACAACTAACCACACAAATGGGCTAACAATATAACCATCCAAACCCAAACTTGGGCCATCCAAAGTGTATTACTTGTTTCCAAGTTGAGCCGTAACTTTTGGTGTCGCTAAAATAATCCGACAACTGTTTTACATTATCGCTCGGATTTATTGGGTATCAAAAAACTCAACAAATCTCCACCTTGATTCTCAATAAATCTGCAAGCAAACAAAACACACAGTTTATACTTGCACAATCAATGTAATCAATAAAATTGGTATCACAGACCTTACCTCGTGTTTCGCACCCGAAACACATACCATACCTGCTTTATATGCTCATCGGGGTTAAGATCAAGAACACCCAAGTAGAAGCAGATAATTACAGCAATCAATCAAGAGCAACTAAACATGCAACAGAGATATTATATAGGATAACACAGATATTTTCAAACATGTTCACACAGAACAACCGATTAACACCAAGTCAATCAACAAGCTAACACATACGCAACAAATGCATAAATGACCTCACGAAGAAGATCTCACCACACTTATCCTATCCCATTCCGTGTTGTTCACTCATCGAGAACACAAATCTCACCTCATCGCCCACAGTGCTCACTAGACTAATCACTCAACTCATGTCTAACTGGTAAGTCTCTATAGATCCTAAGTTCTCGGGATAATCCTCTATCACCACATCACTTCTTCAACCTAAATGGATAATGGGTCTCCACCTAATAGAAGTGATAGAAGCGCATCTCTCGCACTCCACCTGATCAGGGTCTCTTCCAGATAAAGGATTCCAAACATTTGATCACATCTCCACTGTGATCCAAATGTCACACTCCACATCCCACGGTACAAACCACAATGTACCCCTAGGCATCTATACTCCACCTTACCTCCAAAAGACATACACACACACACACACACTCCTAATGCATCCCAAATCCACTATGACAAATCAACACCTTTCGACGACCACAAAGGTTAGGGCTCAATTTAAATTGACTCACACACCACAAGGTTATTCCAATCACCAACGCTCAAAAAATCCACAAAGGATTAATCCCACAAAAGGAAGGGTGAACGTGACACTCAGAAAGAGAATAGAAGAAAGAGTTGGTTACTTTACTGTACTCAAAAAAGAGGTTTACATAGAGAACGAAAATAACCCTCACAAGCTGCCTCACATAATCTCACAAACCACACAAGCTCACAAAGATGAAGAAGAAAAACGGCTGCCCCTCTAACTTCTCACTACTACACTCTCTCACACTACTCACGGAGCAAAACAGAGTACGCCATATATCTCAACCCACTATGCATGCAAACAATTACACCAAATAATAAGATCACTCCAATTCATGCCAATGCACATATCAAATACATTGAAAAATGCAATATATTCATGCAACCAAATTGAGCAATCACACACATGCAGAAGGAGTTACGCATAGATGCTCGTACAGTAACTAGGTATACTCTCAATAAACCTCACACAGGTTATCACTCGACCCAATGACAGAATTTGCCTCACCACTCTCATCAACTTTCCTTTTATTATCATTCATAGGACAATTTATTTCAACCATGTCCAAATTACTGCAGTTAAAACACATCTTAATTTTCGCGCTTGCCTTAGACTACATTTTCCATCAAAATGTTTTATAAACAAAACATTTTCGTTTTGCCAAATTAAAAATTATAATTTTCATTAAAACATGCACAACTCATAATGTGTCGTCATTTTACCCAAAAAAATGCACAGAACACAAAATACAACCAACAACGACCACAATTAAAGTACCGACACAATTCACACAGAATAGTCAAGTAAACTTTTCTAAGGTCACGTGCAATTCTAATAATGAAAAATTTAATTGGCAACAAATTTACAAAGAATTTAAGGCAAATAATTAACAAGTAATTCCTAAATCTAGCAACAGGCAATGATTACCCCTTCACGATAACCTCAAACCTAACGTCACCCCACACGATGACTTCTAATGCGAAAAATAAATTATTATACACAATAATTTTAACTGCAATAATAAAAGGCAAAGAACACGAAACCGAGCGGACCACGTCTGAAGGTCCGTAAATATCGAGAGCTGTGAATTCACCATTTTAGGACCGTCACCATTCGTCCTAAAGTTTTCAGCAACCGTGGCAACACAAAACAACACCCGACACCTGAGCGTCCAAAGGGCAAAACTGTCCAACTTTCACCGTATTGCCCGAAACTGAAATTCAACAACACTGCAGGGTCAATCTCGATGTCCTGAAAAAACTATCTGAAGAAGTCTTCCTCAAAATCCTACTCCACGTACCTCCACGCGCCGCCATCGGAGCGGCGCGTAACCTACATGCGCCGACCACCCTGCTTCTCCTCCGCCTGCATGTCACGCTGTGGTGTCCGTTTCTCCAAAAAGTGAGCGGTTTGTCCGGAAAACACATTTATAGGTGTGGTTTTTAGACAGAAAAACAGGACATAATTTTTCCTGGTTTTCTGCTCGATTTTTGCTTGATTTCCAGCAACCTTTTCACCCCGAAATCATATATTTTTCCTCCACCCAAGCTCTGATACCATTTGTAAGATTTTGGGACTCCAATATCTAATTTCCGGGTTCAGAAAAACAACCAAACGAACACCACATCAACAATCCTCTACACTTGATTGCCTTAGTTTTATCCCCACGAAGGAGATATGGTGGTGGTGATTGCAAGCCCACAAAGGGAGGAAGGAGAAGAGGATAACCATGGTAAAATCTCACCAAGAACTCTCCCCACAAAATCGGCTGCTTCTCTTCATCTCGGCTGCCTCTCTCCTCTTGCACACACTCACACAACTAGAAAACGGCTGGAATGGGGGGAATAAAAGGGGTTCAATTAGGTCACTAAAACTTGGGCCAAACACACTCTTCAACATGGGCCAAAGTCCACTAAATGGACTACCAAATAATTCTCACAACTAACCACACAAATGGGCTAACAATATAACCATCCAAACCCAAACTTGGGCCATCCAAAGTGTATTACTTGTTTCCAAGTTGAGCCGTAAGTTTTGGTGTCGCTAAAATAATCCGACAACTATTTTACATCATCATCCGGATTTATTGGGTATCAAAAAACCCAACACTGTATTCAAAATGGTTGCCTCTCTTGATCTCAACGCTCAAGTCATTATGATTCTCCCATAAATCCTTCACATAGACCTTTTTTCTTGATTCTTCCATCTATGGTTTCCTCCAGGCATGCATCCTTCATCTTATTTTGATTGGGAAAACAACAACAGAGGTCCCCTAACCTTCAAAATGGAGCATTTTGGTCCCCGGCCTTTCACTTTCGTAGCACCCTTAGTCCCAAAGGACGTTTGCCATAAAAATGTTAAATTAACTTAAAATACAATATAGATTACTTGGTCGAGATGGTTTTCTTATTTCTAGATGGTTATCTCATTTCTGGGAATGAAATTCTTGTTCTTATCTTGTATGCTTCCAGCATCCAAAATAGGCCTAAACCTCTCGTTCTGGGTATTGCCCACATGTACTTAGCGGACCGAATGAAGCATGACGAACTCGCAGCAGAGTGGACGCTACGATTTGCAAGGTAGAAGTCAAGATGTCGATTGAGGATATCCTAGTTCTGTAAGTTGCAAATCAATGGTAAACCCAGTTCTTTGTAATAAACCTATCGCCTAATTGTGGTTTTAGATTAATATATCTGTGTTTATGACTTGTAATGTATATCACCTGGATCAATATAGGTCACTGTATTATGAAATTTAGTACTTGGATACTTTTTATGTCCTTCCTATGAAACCTAATGCAGTCACAACACAATGTTGTTGTCCATCTTGTGGCTCAACCAGCCATGGACTTTCTTCATCTTGGAAAAAATAATTAAATTGAATGGCTGAATTTGGCATAAATTTTGAGTAAGACCCGTTTGTTTATTTTGGAAGATCAAGATTGATTTGTATTTTCCTTCTTGAGAAAATCCAAATCATATACTTACTTGCCAAAAATGATGCTCGGGTGCATGAAAAATTGGATCTCAAAATGATGTATTGGAAGATATTTTTTGTTAGAAGGAAACTAATTTAAAGTTATTCCATATAAGAAAGTAGATAAAGGCAATGATCACTTTAAATATGATTACATTTTAGAAGAGTGTAATCATATGTAGTATAAAGACTTTCTTTACGTGCACGCACATGATCAGTGCAAATCACGGATCTAAAGCTATGATCATTGGTAAAGGTTGCTGAGTTCTGGAACGTGACTATCCATTCACAACCCCCTCTTCTATAAATAAGACCGATTGGATATCATTTACTTCATCACAATCATATGCAATCAAAATATAACATAAAAATCTGTTTTTCATTTCATTCAAAGGAGTACAAAAACAATCCTTTTGGTTCGTTGTTCTTGTGTATTGGAGTGTTACAAAAACAAGTAGTCATTGTATCTTGAAAATTGATTGCCTTCATCTGTAGATATCGTTGCTGGGCAAAATTGACTTAAGGACAAAATTCAACTCTTACCTCGACTTTTAATTTATTTTCTTGGTGTTATTTTGTCCATTTTCGTTGGTGTTTCAGCTTTCATTTCTTTGGTGTTTATTACTCAATTCCTTGCCATTGCCATGTCCAATATTTGATAAGTTGGTAAGTTCAATTTGTTAAAGAAATAAGTCAAATCCATTTTACAAACAAACAGATAAAGATGGGAAACAACACAATACAACATTCATATTCTTTAGCAGAAAATCATTGAACACGAAAGCGAAAAATCCCCAATTTTAGGAGCATTCGAAGCTTGAGCTAAATTTGATTTAGCTGACAAATCACAAGATCAAGGGCTTATTTATATATTTTGCTTACCTTGATTCTCCTATGCTTTTATTCATTATTCTTTCTGTTGCACAAGAGTCTACTATATATTATTAACCATCATTGTATTTTTGCAAATTCAATAGTTCTCTTGCCATCATGGGGTTTGTTGAAAAAATGAGTGGCATATTCTGAATAGAGAAGCTGTTTGTACACTGGTTTTTCCCCACTTCGTAACACTTCTGGCAGAGGACCAATGACAGCAGTAGGTTTAGGGCTTACAAAGATTGGCACTGAAACCCTATTATTATTCCCATTAGCAATCACACGGTGCTCAACGCTCTTGTATCGACCGTTGCTCAGAATTTGAAGTGCATCACCAACGTTGATCACGAGAGATCCATCAATTGGTGGGACATGGATCCAAAAGTCAGTGTCTAGTTTTCTCACATAAAGCCCTCCAATTTCATCTTGTAGGAGAATGGTCAGTGTTGAAGCATCTGAGTGGCGCCCTACGCCGACTGTGAGATCGGGGTTTGGACATTTGGGATAGTAGTTAAGGTTAATCCTCCTCGAACCCATTAATAAGGATTCATTGGTTTCATCAATACTGGTTATGTTCAATCTTTTCATTAACATCTCCAACAGTTTCTTGATAACAAGTTCAGTCTTCTTCATGTATTCCAGTGCTTCATCCCTGCAGATAAGTGTTGGTTAATTAAGAGAGAAACTGAAGCTGATGACATTGGCCTACACAAAATTGAAGCATGCACCAAATGGGATTCGTATAGCCTAACCCAAATTTATTGAGAATAAAGCTTACTTTGCTACTGTAAAGATAAGATAAGAACACAATACTTATTGGAAATTAATGCTGTAAAAGTTCATACTGTAACCTGCAAATGGAAGGCCATAACGCAGCAGCCTCTTCATCAGAAACATAATAGAGGCTAAGCCAATCTTTCCACTCCAGTGCCTTCTCCACTTGAGGGTTAAAGCTCGTCCCATAACGAACATTATTCGTCTTCTTCAATTCTTCTTTCGAATACTTCTTCTTCTCCCCAGATGGTAATTCAAAGAACTTATGAACTGCATTTTTCATATTCTCAAACACTTGCATTGGTATCCTATGATTGACAATCTGGAAGAAACCCCATTTCTCTGCTGCATTGCATACCATATCTGCCACCCTTGGGTCGTCCCAATTCGAGAGGTCGATCATAGGTATGGACTCCTGAGATAGTACGGTGCTGGTAGTGAAGTGTTCTTCAGAAGGGTGAATATATTCCTTAGGAATTTTCTGAAGACCTAACTCAGAAAGACCCTTAACTCCATAGCCTTCATCTACAACAATATTCATAATAAAATTCTTACTATCAAATGAGTTGAATAGACTTGTTGAGTATGCTTCAGCCATAGCTGTTGTTTAAAAGGATAAGAAAATTTAGAATTTGAAGTAGAAATGGTGGTTGCATATTTGAGTGCCATGAAGGGCTAATATATACCCACATACACACTAGTGGATTGTTCGGTAACGTGCGCGTTAGGTAATATTGAGCAATATTTGGAAAAAAAAAAAAGAAGAAGAAGTTAAAACCTTATTTGTTGCATTGTCATGTACGATCTAACTCGGTAATCTGAAGGTGCACTCAAAATTAATTAGATTGCTTGCAACTTTCATGCCTTAATTAATACTACATAGACAAATCAAGATCAGAAAGGGTAGAAGGAAATGTGAAAGTAAACTGAAAGATTGTGGTTTATGCCATTTCCATGAAAGGAAATGAATGTTATTTATAATTTAAGCTTTTGTAGATACCTTGCAGCAATGTCTAGTAAGTTTTTAGTTCAAGTGGTTTAGCACCGTATTGTAGAAAATAAATATTTTCAAATCAAATTCATCATGTTGTACATGTCACTCTTCGATGTAAAAAAGTTAAATATGATATGCACGTCTAAAGATTGTAAGATGGAATTTGTCTTAACTTAGCCTTCGTTTGGTATATTCACAAGTGATTTATAACAAGAAATAGTAGTGAGTTCACGAACTCTCTCGATAATTTTGAGTAATATTAATTATGAATATGTAACTTAAATTAATATTTGATTTTGACTTAAATTTATATCCAAGCCGAGGCTTACTATTTTCAAATGCGTAATTAGAAAGAAACTTTACAAATTTAAGCCATAGCCTGTTATAGATTAATCTCAAGTCAAAGTCAACAATTAATTTTAATCGTACATTTCACAACTTCTTAACACATTTCATCAACTTTTATCAAAATTTATTAAAAATCTGAATTTTTTACCTACAACAAAGAGGAGCTAAATAAGAAATTCTAGAAGAAAAAAAGAAGGTAAAACCTCGCCTACGTTAATAAGTTGATGAGACGTGTAGATTTATTTTTTTAAAACTTGCAAGTATATAGCATCGCCATTAGATGATAGTAAGATGATGATCATTTACTATTTTTTTCACAGGACAAATTGTAAGTTCTAAAATATACTTTTAGGGAAATTTGCACAAATGGTCCCTAATTCATTACTCCTGTGCTAGTTTGATCCCCATTCTTCCAATCTTGGCATTGACTCCCCGCAACCTGTAGGTTTTGTGTGCAAATAGTCCTTTAGGACGTTTCTTCCACTCCTGTTGTCAAGTTTCTGCCTGCCTCCCAAAGTGTCCAACTAAGAAGCCAAAGTTGTCCTTATCAAGGTTCAATTATATTTTTGTTATTTGATTGCCTTTTGTGTCTATTTGATTAACTTACATATATTATGTTCGTATTTGGTTGATTTCTTCTTAGATTTGTCTAGTTTCCTTGTTGACACGCTAAGAGCTTGTTCTCTTTACTGTTTTCAGTTTTCGAAAATACTGAAAACACGGTTACTTACTTATTTTTAGAAAGAAATTTTCAAAAACGAGTTTAAAATTTACAAAGAAAACGGAAAACACAAAAAATGTCGTGTTGACTGTTTTCAGTTAAACTTCAGCCAAAACTTCATTTTTTTAATTTTTGAAAATAATTTTTCAAAATGACAAAAAGAACGCGTTTTCAACAATCTCAAAATGGACACTCAAAACACAAAATACAAAATAAATTCAAAACTCAAAACTAAAAATTGAAATACGAAGAGAACAGTCTCCTAACTTTTTATAGTTGGTAACACTTAGCATCCTAGAAAAGGTTTTTTACTGTGGTAAGTCACTCTCGTAAATAATAATATTTTTTACTCTCGTACCTATTGGGGTCATTATTATTTTCCTTTTCAAATGTTGTTACCCATTACCCTATCCATTTTCTTTCATATTTTTTGCCCTTTACTGAAGCACCAATGATTCAACAATATAGCTGAAATTCGATTTTTGATTTTTTTTTTACCAGGGTTTCTTGGGGAAAAAAAATTGAGATGAAATGCAAGTTGAATTCGAAAAGCTCGTCTGTGGACTTGTTCGGCTTTTTAAGCAAGGTAAAAATTTGTGCTTATTGGGGGTGTTTACTGGGTTATTCTGTTCAATAAAATTGAGTGTTTATTTTTCGATTAATTCTGGGATATATATCTTTTGTCCCTCACTGAAACACCCATAGGCCATATTCAAGATTGCTGAATTTTGAGTTTTGATTTAGGTTTTGTTGAAAAAATTATAATCAATGTTATTTAGCATAATATTATTTAGCACCATTGATATTTATAAATTGTGAACATGATAGAAACGTCTCACTGTTGATGTGGCGGTAAGAACCGTAAGTATAGTTCTCTAAATATATGACCATTGCAAAGAATCTTAAGTAATGTTATCTTGTCTCTTCAGCAGTAGAAAGTTTTTATTCGGTCAATTGTGAGCACTAGCTCAGATCTATTGGTGTTTAACACCATTTTAGGTGGCATCACTAGTGACATCAAATTACAATTTTAATTAAATACGAAGAATTATAACCTATTTAATAGGGTCTATGATATACTAACATCTAAAATGATGTTCAATATTCTTGGAAGAATTAAACTACTTGTACATTTTTCTTTACATATTGCTTTACACACTGAATAGGTGTCAATTTTTTAATGACCGGATTAAAGTTGCTTTTCTCAAAGATGATTTGGGATCTCGCCAAGGGTAAAAAAATGTAAACAAAGTGATGTACATGCTTTTGTCTCTCTCTCCTCTTTCCCTTTGCCATGCTTGACTAGTATCTGATTGTTGGGCTTTATTAAATTAATAGTTAGTCGGTTCACACCAAGATACAAGGTTTGGGTCTCCCAATGAGCTCCTTTCATTTGGTATGCAAGCTCAAGCAAGAGATTTACGTAACGGTCTCCGACAAGCAAAAGCGGGAGGTTTCAGTTATGTCGAAGACCAAGGTTAGGTTCGCTTCCCGACGAAGAACATGAAAGGATTTCTTAGGGCCTAATTGCGCTATCGATCTCTCGAAGCGTGAATCCCGACAGCGCCATTGCGAACAGACCCGGGGTGCGCCGCGTGGGCTGGGCTTCTGTTGAGCTCTTTGACGGAGTAGCTAAAAGGGATCTGAGGACGACTCCTTGCCCTCAGTTACAGGACAGTGGAC